ACACCCGTGCAACAACACACACTCAGACAGTACACATACATGCACACAGCTGTATCAACTATTTTTTAAGTCTATACAAATATCAAACTGATCCCAGATATTTTTTTCCTGTTTATACAAGACACCATGCTGCGTCCTCCTTCATGTGCTGCCATTTTGCATTTGCATCGTGCAGGCACGCATTGCATCAGAAAGAGGCGAGAACAGATCACTACACTCACCTCTGACTTCCTCCGGATTCTGCAGCTCTAAAGAAAATAAACACAATCGACCTACAGTTGCAGGAGCCTCGCAGCAATGCAGGAAAATTATAGAAAGAAAGAATCATGCCAAAAACAAATTAAAAAAATCCCAAATAAATAAAAGTCCTGCGGGGCTCCTGTAGAATCAGTGGCTGGAAATACGGTCAAAGTCCGCTTTTGTTTGCACAAGTGATGGAAGAATAAAATGCATCCAGCAGAAACAGAAAAACATGGCGGATTGAAGAGTCTCCCACGCCAGAGTCATTACGCCTGCAATTAGAAAGTCATTAGCATAAATGCTAATGAGTCAGAAATTCATTTCTGCACTCGAGGGAAACGAGGGGATTCTTCGCTTCCTTTTTCTGCACGTTTCCTGAAGAAGAAGGGTCTTTTAGCCGGATGGAAGAAGGCCTGAAGGGGCTCTAATTTCCCAAAGTATTGCATTAGTGGTTTTTGACCGAAACGCGCCAGAAGTCACGTGTTCAAATCTGGCGTCTAAACAGAGGATTTACAGGTTTTATGAAAACAAACTGATGCGGTTCACGGCAGCAGCATCTTTCCTCTGAGATCGTTTCTGTTACATTTTTTAATGAAAATTTTTTGCACAAATTTGTATAAAATGCATCTGCGCGTGTTTGTGAATCAAAAGAATCACAAGAGTCACGATTACATCAAATTCATTGAATCAATGTGTGTTTTATTTACGGTCTTTGAGTCATTAATAAAACTGAAATGTTTCATCCTTACTGTTTTTGTATTTTTTCCATTTGTATATTTTGCTAACCATGCAATCTATAATTTCACTCTTCTTCTCTCAGATTTCTTCCTTTGATGTGGTCCAACAGGAGGTCAGGGGGCTGTAGGGGAACACGTCCCCAGGGGATGGAAAACATTTTATACTCAGATAATAAAATAAAGAGATGTAAGGATTTATGAAACTGTCGAGCAAATGATTAGCTGCTAGGAAGTACAGGTCACACACACACACACACACACACACACACACACACACACACACACACACACACACACACACACACACACACACACTTCGTGTTATTTCTGTGTTGATATATGTTGCGACTAAAATGATCATTATTAAGGACTTTAATATTGTTTTTATCACGCGCAGTTTACCTCTGCCAGAGAAAGATGCGCTCTTTCTTTCTTTCTTTCTTTCTTTCTTTCTTTCTTTCTTTCTTTCTTTCTTTCTTTCTTTCTTTCTTTCTTTCTTTCCTTCCTTCCTTCCTTCCTTCCTTCTTTCTCCTCCTCGGCGACTATATTCTCAAATCTCTCAGGCGTCCATCCATCTCTTTCTTTCTGGACAAATTTGAGACGCGCGCGCACTTTTCCGATCAGGTTTTTGACCCATCGATCCAGACTCCAGAACCATAACAACCTGCTGCCTCCTGGACTGAAATCTGACTTTATTATGAAATAAACCATATTCATAAACTTACTTCATCAAACACCGCTTTTAAAGTGCGACGAAACAACGTCATAAAAAACGAACACAAAATATGAATTTCTTGTCCACCAAACCTTGTATAGATTATGATGCCTAGTGCAGGTTTTACCCGTCTTCCTGTTTGGAGTTTCGTTCAGAATTGTTTCCTTTTATTTTTCTGGCTCTGAATGATTAATGATCCGGACTCTGGGGATCAGTGTCAGAAATCACGAACTTGAGGGAGAAAATGTGAAGTGACTGAAGCAAAGCGGCTCCAGCAGTAGGAAGTCTCTGGGGATCTGTCGATCTGATGCTTTTAAATATGGTGTAAGAGCCTAGGATAGGATTGAAACGCTAATAAATAATAATAATAATAATAATAATAATAATAATAATAATAATAATAATAATAATAATAACAATAGACAAATTTTTCCTGCAAAAGCATAAAAGCAATTTTCAGGAAACAACTAATCACAATAAACTGTTTAATCTTGTAATTAAGTAACCAGGTTAAGCGATCAAAGTTTTACTGAATACATATTAATAATGAAAGGAAATATTTTAAACGAGAGCAATCAGACAGAAAATCCAACATCATAGTAAAATTAAAATACTTTTTCAAAAGATGGTCAACATAAATAGAACATTTTTATTTTAGGGGACCATTTTATATACATTTTTGAGGAAATAGTTGATTTTTCACTGCGTCACAAACAGAAAAAAGAAAAGAAAAGTGCTGGTTGGTTTGAAAAAATAAAGTGTTTTGAAACTAGTTATGCCAGAATCCTGCATACACCGTTCATTTATTTTCTTTTAGAAAAAAAACAAATGTTAATCATTTTTCTTTTGATTGTTTTTATTTGTTCTTGTTTTCGTTTTCAAACCAAGTAAAAAAGTAAAAAAGCCATATACAAACATTTTACCAGGATTAAAAACGTTCCAGCTAATATTTGTGTGTGTGTGTGTGTGTGTGTGTGTGTGTGTGTGTGTGTGTGTGTGTGTGTGTGTGTGTGTGTGTGTGTGTGTGTGCGAGCGCGCGCGCTCACACAGGCTCACATGCAATTAGACACGCGCGCACGCACGCACAAAAGCACGGCGCATTTGCATGCTGTATCCCACGGTGGAAATTACAATGGAGAGCAATTAATATGCGCATAAATTAAAAATGAGAGGGGTTTGTGAATTCTAGGGACAGGCGGTCATCCAAAGAGGAGGAGAGAAGAGAGAAAGGAGCCTCTGTTCACACGGGACAGCAGCAGCAGGATGGAGGGAAAGGAGGAGAGGAAAGATGAGAGGAAGAAAAGGGGGGATAAAGGAGAGGAGACAGATCAGGAGAGAGGGAAGGTTGGACAGAGAATGTGCAGAATGGAGGATGCAAAAAGAAAATAACGAGCAAAATAAAAGGAGGAAATTATGATGGAGACAGAAAGAAGAAGAATGCATCCATTTGTTTCCTGTTGGTTTGATAACTGCTGTTTCCATTCAGAGACAAATGTTGCGTCAAAAACAGGAGATGAGAAGAAAGGATGCTGCTGTAAGAAAATAATAAACACTATCATTCTCAATAAGTGGTTTGAAGTACTTCCTGTAAAATACGTATTTCAATGCACATGGGATACAAATGTAAATTTGGTGTTTTTATTATGCCCCTAAAATGATCAGCAGAGGACTGAAAGTGAAAACATTTAAAATGTATCTTTATCTTGGGTTTGATGTTGCAGATTAGCTCAGTGTCATGACGTTAAATGAACAGTCGTGCGTGATATAATTTTACTAAAGTTTGTTCTTTGTGGACTTAAAAAAAGATTTAATTAGATATGGATTAAAGTCAGAAAGCTGAATGAATGACTTTAGTGTACTTCTATATATGAAATCCACATAACACCACACACTATGCACAAAGGTTAATACGTTCATAAATCAAAGCTGGGGAAAGAAGAGTGAACAAGATAGACAAATAATTAGCTTTTCCTCAAACAAAAAATTACTATTTTGTTTATTTATTAACCTGTTTATTGTTTGCAGTTTATAAGAGGAAACATTTAAGGAAAACGTTGCAATAATAATTATTTTATTTTGTGTTTTTTCTGTGAACAAAATGATCAAAGATCCAAAAGCTATCCAAAGTGGTCAATATTTTTATTTTATTTATTTTTTATTTTCTTAGATAATAACTGATTATTTGATGTCTGTGTTTCTAAGTATTTATAGGACCTCCATTAAAAATGAAGCTAAAAGTATTTATAAATATGTGTCAAATTTTATCCCAAAAAGCATCAAATAAAGAATACTCGCACCCTTTGTAAAATAACAGCCTACACTGCCACCTACTGAGAGTTTTATTTTAGTGCAGTTTCGTTTACTGTCTGAGTTGTGTTTCACTCTAGTGGCTCTTTGCTCTTATTACATCACATCACACTGGAGAAACATTGTTTAAATTCAGACATATTTTGTTATTTAGAATTCAATCTGATTTGTTTGACAACCATATACTAAAGGAAATTAAAGCCATGATTTTTTAAACTCTTTATAACAGGTTTTTGATTTTGTGCAACCTATATTGCCACCTAGCAGAGGACCACCAGATATGAACATTTGTGCTGGAGGTCTTGTTTGTTTGTTTGTTTGTTTTTTAGATAATTTTGGGGTTGGTGGAACAACACCAGATTAAACATCATGCAACAAAGACACACATAGTCTGATAATGTCTTTCAGATCTGTTGCTTAGGAAGTTATCAAAACTATTTGAAGTAAAGCAGGGGAATTTGATACTGAAGACAAATGAAGTTTTTTGATTAATTGTGAAATTTCTGAAGCAGAGCAGATGGAAAACAATACAAATCATATTAGAAACACATAAACAAACTAATGATAAGTTAGCTGAAAACCAACCATATCAGCAAACAAGAGAGAATACATTAAATTCAGCTCAAAGAGAGGAGATGATGAGACAGGATCCTAAACAATCAGCCTGTTTGAATAAAAACGAGTTAAATGAACATTTAAAATTCAGCCTACACACCTTTAGTCATAAACCACACACACACACACACACACACACACACACACAATTTTTTCCCTCTTTCCCTCTCGGATTGCCCTATATGCAGTGTTATGACCGAATAAATAAATAAATAGATAAACAAATCGAATAAATAAATAAATAGATAAACAAATAACTAACTAAATAAATAAACACAAACATTTAAAGTCATATTATCCAACTTTTTCATATATTTAAAAATGTCACTCAGACCACCACAGCCCTTTGTTGCCAGAAAATCGCACTTGAACTTTAGCTGACATACCTGGCGCTGCAGTCTGGTAGCCTGGCCTGCCAGATTCGTCCTCTGTTTAATTCTGCACAGAGTAAGAGTCTGGTTGCTCACAGGCAAAGAGGCACTTGAGGGGTGGGACTAGGCAGTTCAAAAATAACCAATCAGAAAAAAGTTGGAAATGCCGTTGTTGTATTTTTAGCTGTAGTAAAAAAAGGCGTCTGGCAACAATGCAAACATCTTTTATTTTTCTAGAAGAAAGGCTTTTAGCGCTTCTACTTGTTGTGGTTTTAAAGACATTCAAGTAATTTAGACCAGAGGAAAGAGCCGCAGCGAACTCCGCTGCTGTCTTTGTTGTTTATGAGAAACTGAGTGTCGTTGTGTGTGACGCCCACGACACTGTAGTTTTTTAGCTGTAGTCCAAAATGGCGACTGGCGACAGTGCAAACATCTTTCTTTGGAAGAAAGGCTTTTAGCGCTTCTACTTGTTGTTGTTTTAAAGATGTGTCCAAGTAATTTAGAACAAAGGAAAGAGCTGCAGCAAACTCCTCTTCAGTCGCCATATTTATGACAAACTCACCGTTATGGTGTGTGATGCACGCTACTCAACACTGATTGGCTCGGTTAGAATTTTCACAGGGTGGGGTTATTTGAATAGGAGAGTTCCCAGACCCTTTCTCTGTGCAGAATCAAACAGAAGAGGAGTCTGGCAGGCCAGGCTAGCAGTCTGGTTCCAGCATGTTACTTGCATATTTTAGATTGTGAACATGACTGATTTGTTTGATTTAGTGATGAACCACTCCTGTAGAAACTAATGAAGGCTGAGGAGACATTTCAGCAGTTAGATTAAGGCGTTAAAAAGATGAACACACAGTGAGTTTCACTTTTGGTTCTACTAAACAAACACTAGAGGGTGCTAAAAGCAAGCCAAAACTGCCAAGTGTGTCTGTAAAGGTGTGATATGTATGAAAAGAAGTAAGAAAAATATTCTGTGGTCAAATATGGTTACAGCAAGCAATTTTTAAGCAAATTTGTATTTTCTTCTCCTAAAGAAGCTCAAACAGGAACTAAGCACCTATGTTGGGGGTGGCCTGGACTCAGATGTGAAAGGGGACCTTTTGTATCCTTTTTCGAAAGCCGGGTAAGGCTAGCAGCAACATGAAACAGCTGGAAGGGGAAATGGGTCAAGCTAAAGTACTGGCAGTATTTATGTGGAGGAGCAAATTTTCAGTGTGGAGCAGATCAAGGAGGGCACGAATATTTGTTCCACACAAGTCTAGCTAAAAGTCTCAGCATAACAGCATCCAAACTATTACGTTCCTCTTCTTGCTAGGAGTGATGTTGTTGAGGGAGCAATAAGGTGTGAGTGTGGGAGGAATAATAACAAAGTGTAAGTGTCCAAAAGAAAGGATTTTATTAAAAATAACACAGGAGTTCACGGATAAAATGTCTAACAAAAGGAGCCAAGCCAAAAGGGCTGGAAAGAGGGAAAATAATTAACTGAAATAATCTTATTTATAATTCTAAATAACACACAAGAGTCGTCCTGAAAAGCAGTGACGCTCGGGCAAAGACAAAATCGAAGTCAAGGGCCGGGCTAAGGTCAATCCAAGAGTCAATCCGAATCTAGAATATGCTAACGAACGAAGTTAAACACAAGGGCACCACGAGAAGAGAAAAGCGGGAACACCTCCGTGTCCACACTTCCCCGTACCTTCTCGCTGAATGAGGGCAAGAGGGCAGCCAGCTGCTCAGGAGATTGTCAAATTACCCACAGCTGGGCACCGGGAGACAGACGAGGCAGATGCCATTGAGGCCATCCTGTGGCTGAAAAGGGGCACTGCACGTAACAAAACGTGGATGGAAAAGGCTTTTGATCAGAGGTGGGTGGTATGTAAAAGGTAGTGACACAAATAATATCCAAAGAGTAAAAATAATAATTTGGAGAAAAAGTTATTTGATCACTGTGAGGCAAGAGTAACCGTTGGAGCACAAAGGTTTGAATAGGGTGTCTGCCATGATGTTCCTCTTCCTGGGCTGCCACCTTACCGTGGTGGAGGGGTTTGAGTGTCTCAATGATCCTAGGAGCTAAGTTGTCTGAGGCTTTCTGCCCCTGGTAGGGTCACCCATGGCAAACAGGTCCTAGGTGAGGGATCAGACAAAGAGCAGCCCGAAGACCGACTACACCCCCACCCTTTTTGAAGATCTTGGAGGGGGTGGTGGAAAGCGCTCCTTCCAGTGACTCCCTCGTTCTGCTGGGGTACTTTAACGCTCACGTGGGCAACGACAGTGAGACCTGGAGAGGTGTGGTTGGGAGGAACGGCCCCCCTGACCTGAATTCGAGTGGCGTTTTGTTATTGGACTTCTGTGCCAGTCATGGATTGTTCATAATGAACCCCATGTTCAGACATAAAGGTGTCCATATGTGCTCTTGGCACCAGGATACCTTAGGCCGCAGCTCGATGATCAACTTTGTCGTTGTTTCATCTGACCTGCGGTCGCATGTCTTGGACGCTCGGGTGAAGAGAGGGGCTGAGCTGTCAACTGACCACTACCTGATGGTGAGTTGGCTACCAACACTATCTATAGTGGGGACGGTGTGCTGCTGACCTCTACTCAGGACGTTGTGGATCGGTGGGCAGAATACTTCGAAGACCTCCTCAATCCCACCGACACGTCTTCCTGTGAGGAAGCAGAGTCTGGGGACTTTGGGTTGGCCTCTCAAATCTCTGGTGCTGAGATCACTGAGGTGGTTAAAAAGGTCCTCTCTGGCAAGACTCCAGGGGTGGATGAGATCCGTCCGGAGTTCCTTAAGGCTCTGGATGTTGTGGGGCTGTGTTGGCTGACGCAGCTCTTCAATATTGCGTGGACATCGGGGGCAGTCCCACTGGACTGGCAGGCCAGGGTGGTTTTAAATAAGGTGGTTCCCTTATTTAAAAAAGGGGACTGCAGGGTGTGTTCTAACTACAGGGGGATCACACTCCTGAGCCTTCCTGGTAAGGTCTATTCAGGGGTTCTGGAGAGGAGAGTCCGTCGGATTGTTGAACCTCAGTTTCAGGAGAAGCAATGTGGTTTTCGTCCTGGCCGTGGAACACTGGACCAGCTCTATACCCTTAGGGGGATCCTGGAGGGTGCGTGGGAATTTTCCCAACCAGTCTACATGTGTTTTGTGGATTTGGAGAGGGCGTTTGACTGCGTCCCTCGGGGGGCCCTGTGGGGGGCCCTGTGGGGGGTACTCCGGGACTGATACAGGCTGTTAGGTCCCTGTATGACCGGTGTCAGAGCTTGGTCTGGACTGCCGGCAGTAAATCGGGCTTGTTCCCAGTGAGAGTTGAACTCCGCCAAGGCTGCCTTTTGTCACAGATTCTGTTCATAACCTTTATGGAAGGGATTTCTAGGCGCAGCCAAGGTGTGGAGGGCATCCGTTTTGGTGGCCTGAGGATCAGGCTTTTTGCAGATGATGTGGTCCTTTTGGCTTCATCAGAACGTGATCTTCAGCTTTCGCTGGAGCGGTTCGCAGCCGAGTGTGAAGCATCTGGGATGAAAATCAGCTCCTCTAAATCTGAGACCATGGTCTTGATTCAGAAAAAGGTAGAATGCCTTCTCTGGGTCAGGGATGAGGTCCTGCCCCAAGTGGAGGAGTTTAAGTATCTTGGGGTCTTGTTCAAGAGTGAGGGAAAACTGGAGAGTGAGATCGATAGGCGGATTGGTGCTGCATCTGCAGTAATGCAGGCGTTGTACCAGTCTGTCGTGGTGAAGAGAGAGCTGAGTCAGAAGGCGAAGCTCTCGATTTACCGGTCGATCTATGTTCTCACCTATGGTCATGAGCTTTGGGTAGTGACCGAAAGAACAAGATCGCAGATACAAGTGGCCGAAATTAGTTTTCTCCAAAGAGTGGCTGGGCTCTCCCTTAGAGATAGGGTGAGAAGCTCGGTCATTCGGGAGGGGCTTGGAGTAGACCCGCTGCTCCTCCACATTGAGAGGAGCCAGTTGAGGTGGCTCGGGCATCTGGTCAGGATGTCTCCTGGACGCCTCCCTTGTGAGGTTTTCCGGTTACGTCCAACCGGTAGGAGACCTAAAGGTAGACCCAGGACACAGTGGAGGGACTATGTCTCTCACCTGGCCAGGGAACACCTTGGGATTCCCCCGGAGGAGCTGGCCCAAGTGGCTGGGGAGAGGGAAGTCTGGGGCTCTCGCCTTAGGGTACTGCCCCCGCGACCCGACTCCGGATAAGCAGATTAAAGTGGATGGATTGGTGATGTTTTTACTGACATCCAAGTGCTCTGTCCATGTCTTTTCAATTGGTAAATGCAATTTGTTTGTCTAGCATTAGCTCCCAGTAGCACCTCCACAGTGACTTCAACTGTAGAATACACTATTCTGCTCTCAGCTCATCCCCTTTGCCAGTTTTTGTATTGTCGAGAAGTATGACATGGCCAAGATGGCGGTGATCGGAACCGCCCACTAGGCTTCAAGCTGATGCCTCAGAAACCTACAGGTGATGTCACAGAGGGTTTGTCTCTATATTTTACAGTCATTGGGTGGAACACAATCAAAACAGGGTACTGGTCCCATCACATTGCCTTTACATGATCCATGCATGCACACCCACACACAGGTTCAAAATAATTCTGCAAAGCAACAGCAGCAACGTTTCACCCAGCAGTTATTCGTCCCCCAGCTGAAGGTGCTGTCTGATTGAACCCATCTGTCTCAGATCTCCAACCATGAGACCTCTTTGATTGGATCACCAGCATTAAAGTGAAGCTTGGTGCAGGAATCCAGACAATTTGGCTGAAACCTGCACGGCAGAGTTCATCCCAGGCATACCTGTCCCTCCTGATTCACACACTTTAGCCCTAATTGAGGGTCGCAGGCAAAAGAGGTGCAGAGGCGTTTGTTGGATCTGTTGCCATGGACACTGAGCGTTGCTAGGCAGCTGGTGGGATGCTGAGGAAGTAGAGCAATGGGTCACTGTGGAGAGAGGGATGTGCACCCACACACCCATAGAAACACACACACACACAAGAGGAGGGACAAATTGTGAGACAAATCAGCAAAGAGATTAGACTGACTTAATACAATTTCAATAATAACAATTAATATTTTTTGTAAACTGAAAATTTAAGCT